AAAAAAACGGAACGTCAACTTTTACAAAATTGAAAATAAAATTTCTATGACTTTTCAAATATTTGTACTAAGTTTTATACTTCAAGCACATATTTTTTTAAGATATATTATTGCTTTAACATTTCGATACTTATACTTACAATTTTGGTACCAAGACGTTCAGTTTTTTTTTCTAATTCGATATTGAGCTTGGACGCAACTCTTTAGTTTATCTTATAACAAAATGGATTTCACGGCATTGTATGACAGATGTGCTGCTGCAGCTGGATTTTTCTGAAAAACAAATTCGAAGATTTCTTCGTTCTTAGCATTAGTTTCTGTGCAAATTTTATTTATTTTTATTTACTTTATTTTTTTGTTTATATTTTTAGAGTGGTTAACTTTATTAGTAAATATGAAATAAATGAAACAAAGTTTAATAGACTACTAAAAATTATTTGTTATTTTTCATACATGGTTTGCTACATGGTTAGGATCTAATTGTAATTTAAGATAAAAGTTTAATGTACTGTGTTTGGTTTGTCACTTTTTTTGTTTACTTTATACAAATGTGTAGTCTTTTAGGTACTGCTGATAAAGAAACTCTTCAAGAATGTACTAAAAAAGTGCGACAAAATAGTAGTACACTATACACTAATTATATAAAAATTATAAATTTTTATACAATTATNGTATAGAGTTTTACTTATTTATAATTCAATATTGAGTTTGTACACAAATCTTTCGAGTCATTATATAAATAAGCAATATTATTCTTTTGATATCTTCTTATATGTTTATAAACATACTTAGAACATACTACCTTGATCAAAAAGTTCCCGGAATAAATTGTATACAATTTTGATCAAGGTAGTATATAACTGACTTATATAACTAATCAATAACACACTAAAGTAACTTGATAATTTTTATTTGTAGTATCACAAAACTCTTTAGAATTGTGGAAACTCTTTATGTTCAATGTAACTTTCATGTAAACAGTGCCTAAAAATTTCGATATGTCTTACGATATTATTATAATAACACAATCGTTATAAATGTTATTATATACATATGGGACATCTTTTCTATGTTAACTCTTGTATACAAGTTTTGCAACAACAGAGATGCCTAGATATAGAAAAAATATATTAGATGTTTAAAATACATATACAACATCTTCCTCCTTCATGTAAATTGCTTGAATTTCTCGGTTGCATACTTATGTCGGACAAAAGTACAACATAATGATAACAAAGTTATTTGTTTGATAAAATAATAGTACATATTCACACACAGTAATTCATAATACACTACTATCTTTATAGTATATATCTAGCGGTATTATGAATGTGTTTATGAATCAAATACAAACAATTACAAAATGTTCAGATAATAATAATAGAAAAGAGTAAGAATGCCGAGTACATCTCAAGAATAGACGTTCAAGGAGTTTAAAGAAACAACGCACAGACGTGTAAGAAAATTCAAATTAAACGCAAGAAAGTATAAAAAAATATTCGCAGGATGTGACATTTTGCAGTATATCTCACAAGAATAGACATTCAACAAGTTTAAGGAAACACCGCATCAAAAAAAAAAAAAAAAAACGTCTAAAAAATATCAACTTAAAGACAACAACATATAACAAAGAAAAAGCAGAACGTCAAATTTTGCAGTTCAAGTCGAGACATTTGAAATATTTGTTTTAGGTACTATATTTTAAGCACATGATTTGTTATTAATGTAATATCACACTTTTATATTTTGATACTTATTCTTATATTATTTTGCCTACACGTTCTGAGTTTTTCTTTTTTATAATATAATTGACTACACAAAACTTCCGCGTTATTATAAATAAAAGATATTTTTTTGATAGTATATTCTTATGTATGTTAACATACATATTAACTACTAATCATTCTCATAACATATCTAATTTAAAAAACTAAAATCAGTGGCTAAAATATCTTTTATTTATGGTGACGATAAACTTTTTAGAATTGTGGAAATTTTGCATGTTAAATGTAAAGTTTATATAAATAGTGCTTTTACAGTTCAATGTGATAAATTTTATGATATTATTGTAAGTACATAATCGCTATAACTGTTGTTACATATTGGACAACGTTTCTGTGTTAACTCTTGTATGCAAGTCTTGCAGCAACAAAGATGTCTACATGGTATTAAAAGTATATTAGATTTTTCGCTTAAACATATGCAACATTTTCCTTCTTCATGTAAACTGCTTGTCGGTTGCATACTTTTGACGGACAGAAAAGACGTTTTATTTTGACTTTCTTGCATACTTTTGTCATTGCCCAACCAATAATCATAATCATCATATAGAACATCATATATAATATCTATAACAATATGATTTCATAGTATCATATTATTGAACGCATATACTTATCTATTCTTCAATTCTATTATTTATTCTTCGAATTGGTTTTGTCTGTAATTACCTTTCTCACTAGTAGAAAATTTTTCTGACGTTTCCGAGTAATTAACTGTAAAGAAATATTACATTATTAGTTTAATGCATTTTTAGACAAGAAATATAATGTGAACAATAAATACATCGATACTTTTGAAATACGTAGTAAAGACATGTTATGATTGAGAAATAATTATTCTTAGAGATATCTCTTCTTTGAGTACACGCACACAAAATTATACTTTGTATATATACACTTTTCTGAAGAAAAAAGGTTTATTAACTTTGATGTTGCACATAACGATAAATAAAGATATTATATTATTTGAGTCAGCGTGTATATTTACTGCTCTTATAATTGTGATTCTGCACAATTTCCAATACCATTTTTATGTGTAAGAAGATAAAATGTAATAGTTTTTTTCATCTATATTTTACAATCATATAATTGATACTTACACATTATCACGAAATAGAAAATCTTGTAGTACTATATTTATTTTAAAATATCTAGCTATATTTTAAGTAGTAGTATTATTAACAATATATGTATACTACACTGTCAAAAAAGGAATACAAATTTTACTTATATATTTCAGCACTTAATAGCTGTGAGTGAGTGTGTGAGTAAATGTGGGAGGTAAAAAGAGAGTAAGTGAGTGAGCAAGTGTGAGAGAGAATGAAAACGAAAGAAAGAAAGAGAAAGAGAAAGAGAGAGAGAGAGAAAGTGGTCAGTGTATAATTAACCACATGATACTTTTTTAAATCAATTTTAAAGTACTCACTTGAAACGTTAAGTCTTGGATCATTTTCCATAGAATAATCAGCTATGCTTTGCGAATCATTAATTTGACTTGTATCTTCCATAGTATTTAAAACTATAGAAAAAAACATGATTGAAAACACTTAGTAAAATTATAAAAGTCTACTATTTTACAACAGTAAATTCACCTTTCAATTGCTCTGTGCAATCTACACGTAGGTTTATTACATACTGTGTAATATGTTATGTGTAAATATTTATTATAACTTACCCTCATTATGTGATTCTTCCGCGTGTTCAATATGTTCTTCTTCCCTGTTATTATCTGAAACTGACCATTCTACTTTCAAAAAATGTTGACAATAATGTAATTGTATGATTAGGCTAAAATATTAGTTATTTTCGAAAAATCAAGAAATGTAATAAAACCTTAGAAAAAAATTAATAGAAAAGCGTATTTAGCAGTGATACATAAAATGTATAAAAGTATAACAGGGATATACATATGTATGCGCGCGCGCGCAATGAAATATAAATTTCATGAAATTCATTTTTTAGTCTATTTTAAAGTAAAAACCACAACCTTTTTGCAAATTGTAACCTTCTATCTCAATTACAAAAGGCACCTATAAGGACAAACTATATATATAATATGTTCTCAAGTGAATAATATTAATAATAAGTTTTCTTTAAAGGTGAATAATTTAATAGAAAATCGCAATTCTATACAAATTTTATTGTATGTTAACACATAGTCGCAAAAAATGTAGGAATCTCCACTCGCATCTCAAGTTCAACGGTGTTGCATTTGAAAAAGAAAAACTTTTCTCTAAGTTAAATAATATTACTTTGCCTTTTTTACAGTCTCCTAAACGGTTGAAAAATCGCAATATCGTACAACTGTGTTGTTTGTTTACATACCAAAAGAAAATATAAAAGATTGCATATTGTACTCTCCCAAGTTAAACGAAAAATTTTCACGACTTTTTTTTAGTGAACTTGCAACATCAATGAATCTGGGATACCTGTTGGAGGTCCATAATTGTTTTTCGAGTATATATGTATATAAACATACAGATATGTATAATAGTGCTACTTTTTCTACTGTTTAATACTGTTTAAACTCTATAAAAAAGTAGTGTAATATTATATACTTTAAGAACATTGGTTCTCTTCTTATTGAAAATGCAACACTCACAAACGTGAAATGAGAATAAAAATTTGTTTTTTTTTCGAGTGATATGGTACCATACAATAAATTTGTATTGAAAGATTCCACACTCATTCATTACATTTTAAACATAAAACATATTGTACATATTAGTCCAATAAGAAAATGTTTATTCTTCAGGCACTATTTCTAATTAAGATACATCACTACAATTTGCCACAAGATATTTATCTTTTATTTTAAAACAAATTGAACGATAGACTCGTT